GCGTCCAAAATATTTGCGCGACGGAAGAGCACGCTGCGGGTGCAGGGCGACGCACATCGAAATAATTAGAACCCCACACTAGATGCGGGGAATAACACTACCTCATAACATAATGGCAAGCAAAGATTGTAGTCTGATGTTGAAGCAGTGTGGCTGCAAGCAAGAGCCTTCTTCAAAAAAACGGGTGGTTGTAGCCTCGACATGGTGAACTGTGACGCTGTAAACACTCCTGTACACAGACCCCTGGGAGGATCTGGAAAGTCGAACCCCCTAATGAGGGGGATCTGCTTTCTAGATCCGCCCAGGTGTCTGGGTAGAAGGAACCATATTAGCTGCAATGGGTCCCAGGCACAGTAAGGCGGAAAATCTTTAGGAAGGTGCCCAGCACATGGTTGAGACCGAATCCATTTGCGCTCACGTTCTCCTGCTTTCTGCTCTTGCTGAGTCGTGCCTCTACAAGTAGCGGCAGCACCCCCAATTGCCTTACCCCACTGCTAGCCTCAGATAGTTGATTCGAAAACGTAGTAAGCCTGAGATTTGAGGCCATTTTTGGTCTGGAACTAAACCTCGTCCGAAAATCCTGGTTACTCTGATGAAGACAAGCCCCAAACCCCATGCAGTTGAATCGTCGGGGGGTGCATTGTGCTGTCGCTTAGTGATCTCGGTAACAAGAATTTTCAGCATTCGTGCCTGAGCTAGGATAATGACGACGACAAAATGATTACAAGGTTCACGCAAGCCCAACCGCACAATTGGCTAGGAAGGTCTCACCCATTCAAGTACACACGCAAACACTAAACGCGCAACAATAACCATGACACATTGTTGCCTTCAGGGCAAAATGTAGTCTGCTGTGAGGCTCTTGTGCTGGGTACTGGGAGCTGTCAGGGGCAAAGCTACTTCACACGGTTTTAATTGCTTCTGCTTAGGCATAAGTCAAAACCGCAAGCCCATGTCCTCAATCGGAAAGACGTAGTAAGCATGGAAGGCGCCGCAGATCATGAAGCCCAGAAAGAGCCTAGCTTCGGGTTCGGGCTCTCGGAGTGCTGCCTCGATAACCATCCTCTTGCTTCGAGATGTCAATAAAAAGGTCAACCTTGTGAGTGCGGCTACCAAACTTGTTCACAAATTCAGCGTTCAACCATCTACCTCGCATGCAATTCTTGAAGCTTGGCAGAAGACATCTTACCCCATCACCTCCCGGCAATAGTGAACCTAATGATACATGGAATACCAACATGTGTATATATATATATAGATATGTGTATTTTTCTATGGTCAGCCTCCCACCCCCTGACCCTATCACCCTTTAAAAACACTGTAAATGGCAATGTTTTCCTGCGTTTTCAGGACATCCGTGTTTTACATGCTTTCCAATGACGGGAAAGTATTGGATTGCAGGGCGAAAATACAAAAAATAAATAAAAAAATAAAGCACAAGCCCTAAACCCTAGTCCCTGAATCCTCAAACCGATGTGGAAGAAGAAGCCCCCCACACGCACTCTGCATCCAGGCCGCAGGAAGAAAACTGATTCAGGACCACACACCGCGATCACCACTGGCACCATCCTCCGACCCACCTGCTTAGGATTTAGGGTCAAGGTTGTGGAGTTTTTCGTTACCCCAACCCCTTGATTCGGACAAGAATCATGCGATAGTTCTAAGGTCCTCATTATCAGGTGTCCCCATTTTGACCGAGATCAGAAAGGCAGGTTGTTTTCCGGCTTGAATGAGAAGGGGTGGTGGTTTCATGCCAGGGCCTTTGTGAAGGCTTTCGTAGGGATGGTAGAGCTGGTAGTCATACGGGGTGCCCAAATGAATCTCAGGATTTTTCATGTTGGTTGCTACCTGCACAATGCTCCGAAACCTCATGAGGCACCATACGCATGCCGCCGCCGCCTGGTTAACATGACAAGCTCGAGCACGACTTCCCAAAGCGTCGCGGTCCTACACGATACAGGAGCCCCAGTTGAAAGGGCAACGTAACTCGTCTGAAGCTTGAAGTGGACATTGGTACAAGCCACGCGCATTTTGGCATGTGCAGATTTTCCTGGACACACCTTCAGTTCGGGTTGCATCCGAAAACCCTAGATCCTGAACCCCTCAACGCGCTCTGAGCCCAGAAAATCCTAAACCCTTCAACCCCCAAACCCTAAACTCCTAAACCCCTCACCCCTAAACCCTTTGAATTCCATCTGCCTGCTCGATCTGGAGAAAGTTCGTGGCGAGGATAGTCCAACGAATCAGGACAAGACTTGACATTGCGGAGGGCTCATCTTCCTCACGTCATCATGAGTTTAGGGCTCAGGCTGTAATGTAAAGGGGTGTGGGGCTTTAGGGTTTAGTGCTGTGGGGCTTAGGGATTAGAGCCTTGGCGTTTAGGACGATCAGAATCCCTTTGAAATCCCCAATGCAACGAAAAACCTTTCTACTTTGGAGCTCCACGGTGCGAATTCAGGATTCAGTCTGGGAGCCAGGAAGCCCATCACGCTAAGGGAGGAAATCGAAACATGCGTCTAAAACCAACCCAAAAAAGGATGTGGAGTTGAACTCAAAAGACACAGAACCCCGAAGGTCGAAGGAAAGGTACAAGTAAAGACTTATACCGGCCGTACCTAAGACCTAAAACCCGGGCTGTGCCAAAGCTCCTT